AAAAAACTGACATTTTATTCCGCCTAAAGAAAGCATACGCCCTTTTACTTATGACTTCATTGAAATAGCCTCACTTGATAGGTACAGTATATTCGTGACATGACAGAAATGAAATGAGAATTTAGCCTGCAGCGTGTACATAGACAGTACGGCCTCGGTTGTACAAAGAGTATGGCAAAACGAATTGCTAACTTATCTGACCATCCTACGGACACAAAGTGTGATGCTTTATAGAATTTTTTGCACTGATGGTGACAGACACAGACAGGAATGCATTGATGCTGTTATCCTTTATTGCTTTATGAAAAGGGGAAACAAAATCCGGACTATGGTTATCCACATTAACAACAACACAGTAAAATAGGACACTGCTCTCGACGTTTAGCGAATCGTCTGAACGTCCTTCTTCAGTCAGTACTGACAGGCATTTCTTATTTCTCTTTTATTATTTAAGCGGCGGACAAAGTGATGAGCCAAGCCACAGAAAGGCAGACAATAAACAATTCCATCCTGATTGCACAAAAATGAATAAACGACTGTTAAAGCCTATTGGTACATAAATGTACGACCTTCTTGTAATCTATAAATCTGCACCTCTTTATGTTTGGTATAATTCTAAGGATAACAGCGATTATTTTCTTAATCAGCGTTAAAAACTGATCTTCGTAATGGTGAAGTGTTGTTTTCTTTTACGTACGCGGTGAATATTTTTTTTTAAAAAAAAACAAGCACAGTGCCCGCAGTGCTACTGCCGAAATCGCTAGTGTCAAGTCTTCGTCCATTTCTTCTCTAATACTGTCTGATATTGAACTGAAAATAAGTGAGAAAATGATTACAAGGCGAAAGTCCTCAGCACAGGTCAACTCAAAGACTGCTTTTATCTACTCGACCTCAGTTCCGTATTATTGTGACGACGACTGGGCTCTATGCCAACTATGATTTATTTAAAGAAATCAATTTACAGAAGTCTACACACAGGCAAATCGGCCAAAACTGTTGCTAAAACTAATTCTTCGAGTACGCGACACACTCAGCTCTGTCCACAAGTACTCTCTGTCTGGCCGCTCCGGTCCGCAAACTTGGTGTTCTTCGCGCACACTAACTAGCTCCCTTTCTAGCTAGTTCACTCACTGTCCACTGTCCACCACTGTTCCTTCTAATCCACCCTCGACCACCAGCATTCGGGGAGGCGACTCGTATCCGTCGGCCCATTCGCTGAACGTTCCGGGCCAAGAATCTCTTATGTTCTCTTTCCCGAAACTTTCTTTCGGCGAGGGAAATACATCGTCTTGGAACATTCAGCGACGGTCACACCCGTAGCCCGCGTCTGCTAGCCAGGGAGGGGAGTAGGGCGGCCCCTCCCCTCCAGTGGCAGCCGTCTGTCCCTTCGACGCCACGTCACATTATTCTTGCCCAGTACATTGCTGTCCTCCAATTGGGAATGTTACGTAAAATATAGCTTACCGTCGCACGCTGTGACACATCGCGGGACAGGTTTGGACAGGTTCGGACAGATTTCATCAGGTCTGGCGCGGTCAGGGCAGGTAAGAACAGATAGGGTGTGAGACTAGGTTAGTTTAGGTTAGGTTTTGTTAGCATATTTTAGGTAAGGTTTGATTGTATATCTTAAAGTCTATCCACGTCCCAGCCTTCGGCGGCGTAAAATTTTTCGTCGCGACGCTCGGAGTCAATTTGTTAGAGTTGTATATGGTTCCGGAGGCTTATCTCTGCCATACTCGTCGCCACATTTGGCGTCGGTTTACTAGAATGTTGTATTTTGTTAGGAAGACTCTGTTGGCTTCACTTACATTTAATATCTGGTGTCGGAGCGTTAGGCTTTTTGACGCTTGACGTCGTTTTTTGACATTCCCACTGGTACCCCGAGTCTCTTGCTCTAAATGTGGCGCCTTTAGGCTTCGTAACAACTACTGGTGTCGCGACGCTTGGCGTCCATTTTCCAATGCCATGTCTTGTGGCATCCGAGGTTTATGTTAAATACGGCGTCTTACGGAGGCGTCGATTTTGCAATTTTGTGTTCATGTTATCCCGGGACTAAATAATACTATAGATGGTCTATAAAGCAGCTTCACGATGATTGGCGTCGCGACGCCTGGCGTCAGTTTTGCAGCATCGTGTCTTGTGGGTTCCATTTGGCTCATGGTCCCAAAATGTAATATTGAGTCAGGGTATTGTCTTGATCTTGGTTTTGAATTAAAAAAAAACTTCTTCGTCAGGACTCGAACCCAGGACTGTTTTCGGTGGTGTCGCGTTTATTTCAGTAATATTCTCTTCGAAATAAGCAACTTTGGCCTTAACACCATTCTTCTGCCTTGCTTATTATCCGAGATGCAGAATTCATCTTTCCTGGAAATGGAACCATGGTAATTTCTTGGGTTTGCGGTAGAATTCTAACGATCACTTCAGTCTATTGTAAACCTTGTACCTAATATTTATTCTGCAAACATGGGCGAGTGCCAGAAGTTATCAGAATCATCCATTGACTGCATTCCACACTGATCTCACTAATAAATATTCCGTCTGCCCTTTTATTTCAGCTTAAATTAATTTTAGTTGGTGGTGGCCTGTGTGAATAGGAGACGATGGAGGGAGGAAACTTTGTCTGTCGTAGGGATTGCGATATGCACTTGTTTTCGGAAGTAACTGCGCCTTCCGGCCATAGGTCGTTACGGTTGACACTAAATCCACCAATAGGAAATTAATAGCTTAAGGGGTCTCCTAGGCTGGGAAATGGAATTGTTTTGGAAACAATATTCATTCTGACCAACAGTAGTACTAACGACTAAACAAATGCCATCTCCTTTGTGTTGCTCTGATTCATTGTGTGGCCTACATTGGGTATTATACGTAATGGAACAACTTATGTCGTCATGACATAAATATCTCCTTATCTATTTTCTACTCTCAGGCCACGTTTAACATTCATTATCCTAACACACTACAGAGGACTCAGTCGATAGTATTTCTTTATTTCTGGAATCATTGTGGCTGGATTCAGCGTAACTAAATTATGTGATAAAATCTAACAGGGTATTAAAACCCGACTAAGTTTTGTAAACAGCCTCGGTTCATTTCCAGACGCCGTTAATATTAACTTAAAACGTAATGTCTGCCAGTATAATGACAAACGAAACAACTGAAAACGGCAGTAGAGATAGCTACCGAAACACCGTGCATATTAAAGATACCTCACACAAATAGAGAGTGCCAAACCTAGTATTCATGTAATGTATTTAAGTAGCAATTACATTTTAACGCTTGCTTTATTAATATTGCTATATGTGCAGTGCTACCAATATAAGCTTTTAAGATTTCACTACAATGCGCAGGCGTGTAGTAATGCTGTTGCCGTTTCAAAGTTTCGTTAACTGTAACTCAGACACACATAAAGCCGACAATATTTAGCCTCCTTCTCGCTGCACATCCATCCGTATTCAAAGCAGAGTAAACATACTTCGAATACAATAAAACTTAACAAGCTTTTGCTAGCGTGCTAGATCGCGATTAACGGCTTAGAATGGATTCATTACTCAGCCATTTGTTGGTGCTTCTGAGA